CGCCCAGCGCCTGCCCGCACCTGCGGTGTCGCGACACTGATTGAAATTCAAGCTGGCCCCGTCCCCGCACCGCGAGGAGGGCGAGGAGTGCGGGGAGCCGGTCGCTCCAGAAGGGGGCTCCGGAGTCCGGGACGCGTCGGTACCAGGACGGTCCCCGGCGGGGTTGCGGAGGGGCTTCCCCAAGGGCTTCCCCGCATCTGCAGCTCGAGCCCCCCTCCCCTGGGTCCCGGAAGTCACCTGCGTAGCCGGCACTGGGGGGTCCTGGGAACTGGGGTTTCCTAAGCGTCTCCCTCCCAGGTTGACCTGCACCTGGAGAGGCAGACCTTCGGCCCTGCCCCGTCACTCAGGGTGGGGGATGCGGGAGTAAAGCCAGGCCCCCTCCCAACCTACCAAACCGAAGCCAAAAGTCCGGATGTGCGGGCGGGGAGAGGGGGGGAGCATAACACCTTCCCTCCCTTCGGCTCCTATCGTTAAACCTCTCACTTGCTTCTGGCCCCAAAGCCCGGGTAGAATCCTGCGTCCTCGCCACTGGAACTCAGCCTGGAAGAGACCGGGTGAATTTCTGCACATGGGGGAGCCCCTTCCGCCCAACCTGTAGGCAGAATGCTAGCGCTTGTGTGTGGGGGGAGGGGAGTTGGGGGGGAGGGTTCCTGAGTAAGGGGTCTCTGCCCGCAGCAGGTGGAGGCCACGGCCACTGGTCTGATGGAAGGGCACTGGGTATGCATTCCTGGCCGGGGAGCAGAAGGGGGTACAAGAGTTATAGTTACTGGAAGTTATTGGAGGCCCTTGGGCAGAGGCCGAGGCCTTTATTGTCATCCTAGAGAATCCTCCTTGTTCTGCGATTCCCAGGTTTTCGCTGGTCTCCTGTGGTGGGTCCCTGAACCTGGGGAGCAGCTGGGAGGCTATGTCAGAAATATTAGGGGGGCTACAGAAGCCTTGGTGATAAGTGTGTTTCTTCCTTTCTCTCCTCTTCCTCCTCTCCTGCATGGCCTTCCTCTCTACCAGCCCTGGAAAGTCCTGTTTGATCAGGTATGTGAGCAGTTAAATTCCCCCTCTTCCTTCCAGCCCTCCCCCAAATCAGAACTGAAGATGGTGACGTGGGGTGAGGGTGTGGCCTAGTGCATCTCTGGGACTGAAGACACTGCTCCCCTGGTTTCAGGAGGAGGGGGGCTCCCCTGAGACAACCTTCCCTCCCTCCGTCCTCCTCTCAGCTCACTTCATCGGAGCTCGGTCTATACTATGTAGAGACTGGACAATACATACTGAAAGTCAGCGATGATGTCTGTATGCCAGGGGATTGCAGTTGGTCCTGGGGAGGCGGGGGAAAGGCTTAGGTTAACGTACCCTCTTCTTCTCTAACCCACTATCAAAGCTCCGTGGCCACCAATGAAGTCAAATCTCTCCCATCCTTGGAGTGTGACTCCCAATACGGGCTCTTTTGAAAGCTAACTCTGATTTTCTGGCAGGAATGGAGGGAGGGGTGTAGGGAGAATAGTATGTGATTGTTTGCAACGCCTGGAGTCTAGGCCTGGGGAATGGGAGGGGGTTGAGGATGCCAACCAGAGACGGACAGCTGACCTTCGGCCAGGATAGGGTTCTCTTTGCTTGGTACTCATGTTGGGTGCTGTTGTGATGGTCCTTCTCCCTCTTCGTACCATGAAGCAGCAGGAGAGGAGGCACGAGCTGTCCCAGGGTTGGGGGAACAGTGAGCACTGCAGTCCTGGGTGAGATGACTGAGCCATGAACTTTGTGCGGGAATATGTTTTGTTGGGGAGGGAAACAGAGCTGAAAGAGTAGCTTGGACCAGACCATGTCCTGTTGCAGGCAGGGGAAGCCTTTGAGCGTTTTTTGGCAGGTTTGTTACGGGATCGAGGCCATGCCTTGGGAAGATTCTGCATGACAGTGGGGTGGTGGAGGCTGGACTGCAGGGGTGAGTGACGCTGTGAGGAGCCTGCTGCCGTGCATGGACACAGGCACTGACTCGGAGGAAGACAGTAAGAGTGGAAAGGAAGAGGGACATGGCAATGGGAGACTCGGCCGACCTCACTACACTGAATAGATGAGGTGAACCACATCCATTACTTTGACATTCTGAATTGAGGGGGAAAAGGGAAAGTCAGGGTTGGAATTGGAGGGAGTGGGATTGGGAAGAAAGGACAAGTTCAATTTGAAGAGCCAGCTAACTGCAGATGCCCAGGCAGGAGCAAAGACATGGAATTGCAGCTTAAAAGACATGGCGGGCCTGGGGTGGGGACATGAGGTGTCATCCACGTTAACACGAGGCCTGGCTGTGGTTTGAGGAGGGTCTAGTAGCTCCTGTCCCCGTGGGGTAGCACATCTCTCCCTCTGCTCCTAAGTGCCACCCACTCTCCCTCCGGCTCCTAAGAGTACAGCGGCTGCTGGCCTGATGCCCTGAGGCAGGAGGGAGCCGCTTGCTGCCACTAGTACCCAACCAGCAAGCTGCCAGCCCTTCACACTTCTTGTCAGATTTAGAATCAGAACCTAGAACACGGTGTATCATTCTGTTTGGCTCTGTCTGTGTCTTTCTCATTTAATTAATTTCCTTTGCTGGTCCCTGGGTGTGTGTTTACACTTTAAAACAAACTATTTGGGTGAATGGAGGAAAACTTTTAGTAGGAGGAATTTGGAACTGGAGGGAGCAGGGAGAATGTGTAGGACCTGATATTAGTGGTGGTCTATGCAATTCGGTTTCTGCCGCTGGAGGGAGGTCCTGAGTGTCACAAAGACCATCCTCCTGCTTCGCGGAAGGCCCACCCAGAGTCCATTCTGGACAGGGAAAATTATCCTAGGAGAGAAACTCCCAACACGTACTCCGGGCAAATAATTTTTTTCTCACAAGTTCTGCCTATCTACTCCCATCCCTCACATGGCATTGGAGGCCAATTTTTGTCATCCTTCCTAATGGTGCTTTTTAAAATTTTTAAAAATATATTTTTATTGATTTCAAAGAGGAAGGGAGAGGGAGGGAGATAGAAACGTCAGTGATGAGAGAGAATCATTTATTGGCTGCCTCCCGCACGCCCCACACTGGGGAACGAGCCCACAACCCAGGCATGTGCCCTGACCGGGAATCCACTGTGACCTCCTGGTTCATAGGTTAGTGCTCAACCACTGAGCCACACCGGCCGGGCCTGTCAGTACTTTGTGTTGAGGGACAGGGTTTGACCTCTGGAACATACCCAGTCCCTCTGTGTTCGTCCCCTTGCTTTGCCAGGACAACCCTGGACCACTCCCCTGATAGGGCTAAATGAAGAGTAGGTCTGCAGCTCCACAAGCGACACCAGCTTCAGAAGGACGCCAGGTTATTCAGAACACTGAAGTGTTTTATCCTTCCTGCCTTTTCCTCTGGGCCTGCTTAAAGGCAGGATTTGGTGAGGGTACACTTGGTGCCCTTAGGAAAGAACATTGGCTGGGGGTTGCAGGCACCCTCCCTGCCGTCTCTTAGACAGCCCCAACGGGTCAACCTCTGGTGAATGGGGTGGGGGGAACTCACACCACACCTGTCAGAGTTCCTGCAAGCTGATGTGGCCCTACAGTTCATTCCTCAGAGGTCAATGGGATGGGAGGCTGGCCAGTCAGCTGCATCAAGGGGATACCAGTGGTCAGCTGGTTTCCAACTGGGATCTGCTGGGACCTTTTCCAGGTGTCAGGAATGGAATTGGACCAGTTCTTCTATGCTGTCTAGTTCTTCAGCACATAGAGTAGCCTTGACTCAGCATGAAACTAATTGGACCTCAAAGGCTGGAAACCATGACCTTGTCCTTTTGGTCTTACGTGGTTACCCCTCAAGTAAATGGCCAAAATGCCTTTTGTGGGAGCAGGAGGTGAAGGAAACAGGTGAACCCAGACCCTTGGAAGTTTATCCAATTGCCCTACCCCCCCTCCCCCCCGACATTCTGGCCATTTGTATGGCCTGCTCAAGCTGGCTTGTTGCATGATATCCATCCTCACCCCTTCCTCAGTTTTTCCCATCGATCCCAGAAGTTACAGCCATCAGGATGCCTGAAGATCATCACCCCCTCCCCGCTACCTCCCACATGTCCCATGTTTTTGTTTCCTATTTTAACTTCTGCTTGAAGGAATTGTCTTCTCATATCCTTGGGATCTTAATGGTTCTCCTAAATACTAGATTTTAAAGTTACCATAAATATTAATCTGTTGTTATAGTGTCACTAGAGGCCCAGTGCATGGGGACGGGGGCGTTGTCCCTCAGCTCAGCCTGCGCCCTCTCACAGTCCAGGACCCCTCGCTCCTTACCGCCTGCCTGCAGAGCTCACCAGCTGTGAGCCTGCTCAGCCAAAAATGGCTCACTGCTCCTTAGCGATGCCTTAGAGGCAGGAGAGGCTCCTGCCACCACTGCTGCACTTGCCAGCCTTGAGCCCAGCCTCTGGCCAAGTGGTGCTCCCCCTGTGGGAGCACACTGACCACCAGGGGGCAGCTCCTGCGTTGAGCATTTGCCCATTGGTGGTCAGTGTGCGTCATAGCAACTGGTCGTTCCGCCGTTCCGCAATTTGCATATTTATTAGGGTTTTATTATATAAGATGATAAAAAATGTCTCATTTTTCTATAGTTGAATCTGTTGGACTTTTGCTTCACAATTCCTTCTATTGCTTTGGGCCTGAGACAGTTTTCATCCCTTTTCAGATTTCATAAATATATGCTGCTATTTCCTACTACTTCTATGATTTAGAAAAAAATATTATCTAATCCACTGCTCTATCCAGATCTTATTCCTGTCCAGTTACACCAACATCACCTATTAAGAAACACTTCCTGGCCCGGCCGGCGTGGCTCAGTGGTTGAGTATCAACCTATGAACCAGGAGATCACGGTTTGGTCCTCGGTCAGGTCACATGCCCAGGTTGTGGGTTTAATCCCCAGTGTGGGGCGTGCAGGAGACAGCCAATCAATGATTCTCTCTCAGCATTGATGTTTCTCTCTCTCTCTCTCTCTTCCCTCTCCCTTCCTCTCTGAAATCAATAAAAATATTTTTTTAAAAAAAGAAACACTCCTGCCCTGGCCAGCGTTGCTAAGTAGTTTTGAGTGTCAGCCCATGCACAGAAGGATTTCGGGTTCGATTCCTGGTCAAGGGCATGTACCTGGGCTGCAAGTTCAAGCCCAGTTCAGGAGGCAACCAGTCGATGTGTCTCTTTCACACTGATGTCTCTCTTTCCTTCTCCCTCTCTCTCTCCCTCTCCCTCTCCTTTCCTTACCTCCCTCCCTTCCACTCTCTAAAAATCAATGGAAAATATATCCTCGGGTTAGAATTTTTTTTTTATTAAAGAAGAAACACTTCCTTTATACATTGTTTGAGAAATGTTATCATTTGGAAAATTTCTGTAGGTGGTTGGGTGTATTTCAGCTTTTTCTCTGTTCCACTGATATTCACAATTTCTCTCAGGTAATGTACCTTTTCGTTATTGCTTTATATGTGTCCTGTAGCTTTCCTACAAGCTCTTTTTGATCGTCTTACTCCAGTCCCTTCCTGAACTCCAGGGAGGTGCCCTCAAGGATCCAAGGTCAAATAGCAGGTCAGTGGCAGATGTGGGACCAGAGCCCAGTAAACCCCCAAAGGGCTTCTGGAATTGGAAAACCATTTCCAGGTTACCCTTAAAAATGCTTTCAAGATCTGCAAGTGTTTAATGAGCAGAAGGGTTCGTAGCCGAGTTCTGTTAATTCACACAACACAATTGCTTTCAAGCTCAAACAAGCAAGAGGCAAAAGGAAGAATTGAAAGTGACTTGATTATGTCTCTCTTTTTCCCTTCCCATGGGGAGCATGCATTTCCCAGACCCCCCAAAAAGACTCCCAACTTTGCTGATCTCCCAGAAGGAAAGTGGGCTGGTCTTATTTATCCCACCACAATTACAAATCTATGTATTTATACTATACTATATACCCTAGTATGCAAATAGACAGAACAGGGGAACAAACGAACTACCAGTCGCTATGACGTGCGCTGACCACTTGGGGGGGGGGGCGTGCAGAATATGGCATGCATTGGCCA